TGTCCTTTTGGAACCATTAGTCTAAATGGTACACACAGCCAGAGGACTTGTCTCTCCTGCCTTCATTTGTTTCTGCCTCATACACAGAATATCTGTCTCCAAGGCCCACCAGTTGTTGACATTTGAAAATATCACACTGCACTGGAACACTTCATATTTATGCCTCTGTTGAAAGCAAAGTTATATCTCCAAGTCCCCAGAACTCACCATTACTTTTCAATTGCCAAAGCACGAGTTTCTGATGAGGGCATAGTAAGCCAGCCAGCATGCTCTCCACTCCTAAGTCCAGCCAAAAGCTGCTTAACACATCAGCCTCCGTCCTATAAATCAGGGTAGACAAGGACTATAACCGATTTCCCCTTCCTCCCTCTTTTAGGAAGGACAGTAATGGAGGTTACAGAAACCTGACAGTTATTAGCAGGGATAAACATGAGACTCCTGACCTTAACCACCATTACTGAATCAGATGCGTGTGCATGCCCCTACATGCACACACACTCGTGTGCGGACACCACAGGACTCAGATTTTCCTGGCAAGTTGTCTGCTGCTGGCAAGATGAAGCAGTAACACTGCTGGCACAGAGACGCTGAGCTGGGGACTAACACAGGCCAGCAAAGTCAAAGTGAAATTGGGTTTCAAAGATTCCAGTCTTAATTTTCCCCTAGAAGAAAGTCATTCTCATCATTGTTTCCGTAACAGTAATACGTGCTCTTGACAAGCAATCTGCACTTGTTTTCACATCCAGACATTCTAGGTTGGTTATGCTCTGCTTGGAGGCAGACACTGGCTTTGGTCAGCCGAGGTTGCAGCCTTTTTACATGATGCGTCTCAGTGTGTGATGAAGTCTGTCATACTTAGGTTTGTGCAACTCAACTTCCAAAGCACTCAGCCAACATTAACTAAACATATTTTTCTTAAAAATTAAATTATATTTTAAGTCTGATACTGCCAGCCTCAAAAATGCTCCTATTTTACAGTGCTAAGAAAGAAATATCCATATAAGCCAAGAAGATGTTCTCATTTGGGGCCTATCCCATGAGTTATTTACATTGCCAAATCCTATTTAGGTGCCCAAATAATAGCTGATTGCAAATATTTTTGTGAGCGTGGCCCTTAAACCCTAATCTCTGCCAATGCACAGCTGAGGGCTATAGAAAACCATCCTCTGACTTACTCTCTTTGAAAACCGAACCATCATCAGTGAAAGAAAACCTGGGATTTCTGGGAAAGTGTCCAGAACTGCAAGCTGACAATGCCTAAAGCAGCCATTGCCATATCTTATGCTGAGGAATTTTTCTTCTTACAAGCTGGCTGATGTAATCTGTGCTTCATTAATACAATGTTTTTGTGCTTACATTTCCCACAAAAACTTTCTGTGAAAATAGCATCGCCACTGCTGCTTGACAAACAAGGAGCATTTACTTCTCAATTTTATGGTCATTCCCATGGGTCTTCATGTCCCATCTGCAGTTCTCTTGATGGAAGTGTGTGTGGCTATCATATCTATCAATTAGGTCAGATATGGAAATGATTGCTAAGAATTATGATGCGGGTGGCACCTATCGATTCTGTATTTCATGCAATAAACAGGGTGTTTAATATGAAAACCATCTGTACATCAAGGAAGAGAGAAGAAACTGCAACGTATAGTGCCGACTGCTTGTTTTTCTCTTTGATGGATCCCTAACTAACTGACTTTTCTTAACTGATTGCCAAGGGGATATGTGATGTCTCTTCCTGAAAGACATAAAACAGATAAGGAAGATGATACAAAGAGGGAACACACTCCATCCTTCAAGGACAGGTTTGAGCCTGAAGTCAAAACAAAGAAAGGCTGAACTAGTTGTTCAGCCTAAAGAAGATAAAATTGATGAGGCTCATGGCAGTCCACAGATTTTTTCCAAAGAAAAAGGAATCATCTGTTTCCCAGGTTCACTATAGATAAGAAAAAAACTGATGGGCTTCATTTATAGCAAGGGAATCTGGGGTAAGATATCTGTAAAACAGTAAGGAGAGTTCACCACTGGAACAGAATGTCTCTGGAGGTTATAGTTTCTTCCTCATCAGAGGTGTTAAAGGGGCATGTTAGACAAGTATGTCAGAAATTAAATGGGGAATGTTAATCCCACACTTGGACAGGGAGATTGAGTCACTAACTTCTAGACTGGTTTTTCTAATTTTCCAATTCTATGGCTTTTAGAAGGTGTTATCCTGTGCTAGGAGCAAGCCATGGGAGCAGGATAAAGAAAGATGACTAGAACTAATGCAGGTTGGCAAGTCTTTAGACTTTTCCTTTCTGATGGGGTAGAATTAATCTCATCCTAAAAGTTTTTTTCAGCAACTTTAGAAAAATACAGTGTAGATAGGAACAGCTAAATCAGGCATACAGATCCCTTTACAAAACCAAACCAGACATTTTTGGTGACTGACTCGGTTGCAGGTACCTACTCTCTTGATACCTAGTGGTAGCTAACATGAATCCCAGTACAGGTGATTGGTTTTCCAATCCCAGAAACCTTGTCTCTCTCTCACCTCTAGTATCAGGAGCTCTGAACCCAGACCGCAGAACAAGGGCATTCTTCCTCCCTGATAAGTAATTCCCAAAAGCCCAGAGCCCTGATTGTTTAAGTATTTATTCTCTCTGCTTTTCTTTCCCACCTTCAAATTTTGCTTTTCTTTACTCCTTAAACTGCAACACTTTAACTGTTATTGTCATCATCTGGCTGAAACTGGGAGGGATGTAGTGACAGACACTAGCAGACTGTTGCTTCAAGCTGCTTTTCAGGGAAGTAGAGACACAGCTTTCCAAGCATTGCACAGTTGGACAGCACTTAATAATGATTTTAATGGTCTTAGATTAACAATGAGGAACACACAGACACACAGTGTGATCACACAAACTTCATTTGCCAAGCAAAACAAGCTAAAAGCTCAGTTGTTCTTTAATTCTTTTTCCAAATCTTGCTGCTGCCTCAGAGAAGGCTGACTAGATCCACATTGGTTGGTACATCAGCTATTAATGGCAAGCAACCTAAAGAAGTTTTCTGATACCAAACTTGCCCAAAAATAGATAGCAAAGTTGATGTACACTTTGCAAAAGATTCAGAGACATAGTTTGGAGTCTGATTTCCTGCTCTTTCTTCACTTCTGTAGTCAGAACAGTCAATGTTCACCGAATCTTTACCTAGTAGAAAAGCAAACACCACAACGAATTGCTAAAGCTGTATTTTCAGCCTAGATTTTAAGTCTTTTTTTTTTTTTTTTTTTTTTTTTTTTCCCCAGCATAATATAGTTTTAAGGACCAATGTTCCAGAGAAAGATAGTGCTTATGCAAAGACACGATGGTATGTCAGACAAATAAAGACTAGGCAGAGTCAAGCTATGTCTGAACTTTGACATGAGACCTCCAAAAAAGAGCCAGGTACCTCAAAAAGGGATCTAGACAAATCTGTTGTCAGCACTTCTCCGAGTCAGCGCTGGAAACACTGCTGCAGGCTTCTCTGTGAGGAGACACCGGGCAGCTGCCAGTGTCATCTTTCAGGTAAGAGACAGAAGTGAATCCAGACGATGCAGTCAGTTACCTGGCTCTCCCCTCGTTAAAGGCAAGGATGGCTGTGCTGGCCACAACGCCACTTGGGAAACTCCCCTGCTACCCAAATATGCCCCCTTTACCTTTCTAATTCCTGTCTTAAAGGTGGCTAGAGTTACTTTTCCATGGTTAGTACATTTTACCGTAGAGGCAACTGCAGCAATTTCATTATTGCAAAGAGCAAATTTAGTGCACTATTTGATTTTTTATTTCCACATTGTAAGTCCTCTGGAGAAAAGTGGAACGTGTGCTTGATTCTGTCTGTGCCTGATACGAAATATTATTCCCTTGCCCAGTAGCAAAGGTACTTCCTTTTTCAGACTTATCCTTCAGCTCACAACGTAAGGGCCATGCAGGTTGGCTTCTGCTGCTCGTACACAAGCTAATGGAGCATTTCTCTGGAACCAGGCAAATCAAGAAGCTTTCCAGTTTCACAGGTTAGTCAGGGAAATACAATTGCACCATCATTCATTCTGAATGCACATTTGCATCAAAAACAGTGATGAAGTGGTGAAGTTAAACAAGCACACACATGATGACTATGAAGTAGTTACTACTGTGACAAGTTCTTTTCTGACTGATTTTTCAGTCAGCTGTTCTTTGAGACCTTCGGTATTTTGAAAAAAAGATGAGAGGAGTTTATACCAATGGATTACAAACATGCCCTGGACTGAGAGTTAGTGCAGGGGCAGTAAAACCCTTGCTGGGTCTTGCTCTACACAAAAAGAAATGTAATTTAAGTAGTAGCTTTTTTTTTTTTTTTTTTTTTTTCTTCCCCCAAAAGCACAAAGCTTATAGTTTTTTTCTTCCCACTGTGGTTCCCAAGTTAGGAATATTCTTTGTAACAATAAAGGTATTTGCAAATCAAATGTGTATTTTCCTCAGAGGATTACATACACTGATTACATTATTGTGTTAGTCAGTCTCTGAGAAATCAGACAACTCCCTGAATTTTCTCAGATGACTTTACTTGTATTTGCTCATTTTATTTATCTTCCATACAGAATTGTATCTATCCTCCTTTATACTACCTGTGAAGCATTATCTAAATCTCAATTGTAAGAACTACGAGGTTGAAAGATTGCAGAATAAACTCACACAGAAAATAAAGACGAAACACTAAGAAAGACCTTGCAAAAAAAAGAAGTTCCACCAAACACGTGACTATTTCTTATGGTGTAAGAAATTCAAGCTGAAGTAGTTTTATGCTGCATAGCCAGATACATTTCCCTCAGCAGCTTTATTGTTGCTTTCAGTTACCTCTTATTTTCAGTATTCAGAATTTAAAGAAAATAATATTTATCCTCTTTCTGAAACTAATTGACATGGTATGGCTTTGGCTTAACTAGCATGATATGGAAATCTGCCTTCTACTCTGGTCGTAAACATTTAAAAAATACATCTTCTTACCACTTTCATCCAGCAAGAAATCATCCTGGTAACGGAACTTTTCTGGTCCACATGCAATAAAAATGTCATCATCGCCAAAGAAATCCTGAAGGCACATCACCTACAAGCAAAAAGGAAAGGAAGGCATTGTATGAAATACCTCATCATCAGAATTGTAAGAACAATAAATCCCTCCTTGTCTCCATCTGCGTGAAAACTCTTCACTTTTAATGGAATCAACAGGGCTTCATCTCCAGATAAATTTCAAAGCTGTGCTCTGACCATCTGTTACAAGTGAGAAACACTTTTATGGACACTGCAGGAAGAGAGAGATAAGAGAAAAAGCCATAACTGTCACATTTATTACATGATGCATCAATGAGGTATGAGGTAAACGCCTTTTGTTTATGCACAAGGTACCATTCAGTAGTTTGTGGATAATTAATTTGCTTTTGAGCCCACATCTGTATCCTTTGACTGCAATGAAACGAGGTTACAGCTTTGTATGCAGAATGAAATGTAATTATTTCAGCAAAAACTCCCTGACAGGGAATGAAACTCAGATAGGTGAACTGAGTCTCCATCACACACTCCTCCTCTTCGCCAACAGAGTTGATGTGAAGTGTCTTCGAAGGCATCAAGCTGAACAATCAGGTGAGCTGGGAATCATTCTTCTAGTATGGAGTAAAAGGATAATCCCTTTCTACTCCCAAATATGAGCACTCAGGATTATGTTGGTGTAGTTTTATGTCTACACATGAGATTTCCGGGGAGACCGTATTGCAGCCTTTCAGTAGTTAAAGGGGCTTTTAAGAAAGATGGGATACACTTTTTAGTAGGGCCTGTGCCAACAGGACAAGGGTAATGGTTTTAAACTAAAAGATCATAGATTCAGACTAGATATAAGGAAGAATTTTTATACAATGAGGGTGGTGAAACACTGGAACAGGTTGCCCAGAGAGGTGGTAGATGCCCCATCCCTGGAAACATCCAAGGTCAGGTTGGACGGGGCTCGGAGCAACCTGATGTAGTTGAAGATGTCCCTGCTCATTGCGGGGTGGTTGGACTAGATGAATTTTAAAGGCCCCTTCTAACCCAAAATATTCTATGATTCTATGATTTCCTTACAACACCTTTTAGTTCACAAGGCGCTACTTAACAGTTTAGTGTTTCCATTCGTATGACTGTTTTTACTAATAGTCCTAAAGAAAAATCAGTAACTTTCCAAAAACCTGACTTGGATTTACTGATCTAGTTTTGACAAATTTTAAAAACAAATTAGATAACTGACCACCTTTAAAAAAACAAAGACACTCAGTAAACTCTGTTCTTGTTCCATATTTACAAGAACATTTTAAAAGTTTATGTTTTCCTGTTTTTTTGTAAAATGTTTGTAATTGAATAGTGCACATCTCTAGTGCACTAGATCTCAGAAGTAAAGTTTAAAGTCTACAGACAGGAAAGTAAGACATGAAGAATTTCTAAAAATTGACAAAATAGTTGAGAACAGTCCAGCTGAACCAGACCGCCCTCTTCATAACAAGCAGCACAAGGGAAAAGCAGCATTTAAAGCCTAAAAAAAACCAGACGTGAAAGAGTTAACTAATGAGATTTTGCCAGACTTTGGCATAAAAACAAGCCCTCCCCCAGCAGTGACCGGTGTCTAGGGGTTATAAAATGCATATCATGCTTCCCAGAAATATGCCTGAAGGCTTTGGTATCTACAACCGTTACGAGCCTCTATACTACAAAAATCTTAAGGAAGAAAAATAGTGGCACATGTCGTGACTTGCTTGCAGAATAAGATTTGTCATTAAATTTATTTTAAAGGTAGAGCAGTAGCAAATGAAAAAATAGGAAATTGAGGGAAAAAGAAGTAGATGAAATAAATACCCCAAACTTGACAAATGTACACCCCAAATTATCCTTCCTAAAGCAATGCACATAATTTTAAATTCAGGTCCACCACAACCCTATTCCTATCACCACTGTCATCTTAACACTAGATAGTACCTGAACACCCGCACCAAAAATGTAAATATTTGATGGAGCTTTTTACCATGTTCCTACTCAGTTTATGTTCTATTAGTATATCAGCATCAGCAACCTTTATATAAACTCATTTACTTCCCATCGTCTTTTTTTTGTCCACAAGACATATCCTGCCTATCTTCCCACCCTATACTCCCACCAAGCTTCAAACGTCTCTTCCCTTCAGTCAAGTTCCTCTGAAATTTCCACCTCTCCCACAGCATGTACAAAACTACTAATTTGCAGAATGACATTAAAAATCCTGTGATTTCCTGTTTGCCTTCCAACTTTGACACATTTCTGGGGAGCGATAACCTTTACATTTGTGTTTATACTAAGCAGAGTATTAGAACTGAAGAAATAATAACCAACACTAGGTACAAAGTTGGGAACAAGCTTGACAACAAGCACGAATAAAAATTAAATTCATGTTTGAAATAAAAAATTGTATGGATTTAATAAAATTCAAAAATGCTTGGCTCTGCCCAGGTAAGAGGGTTTCATTCACGCCAAAACAAGACATTAAAATGGAGGTAGCAACACCTAACCAGGCTCAACTATGCCAATATTTAAAGCATCTCAGGTTCAATCAGTACAATTTATATGCACATAGGAATGAAAATACGATTAGCACAATAGAAAAATATTTTGTACTTAGATATCCTTGTTTTTTGTTGAACTTTACACGAAATGTAAAGTGTTCTTATGTTTGCCTCCTTTCTCCATGCTCCCAGTTTTCTACACTCTATGTAAAACTATATACACTACTTACAGTTTTTCTTGCCTCCTGAGATTTTATTAATTTGGGAATTATAATTCTAGCACCTAGAAAGCCCACGGCAAGAGTGTAAGTTCCCTCCACACCCATCCCGCTCTGGAATAACTTCTCTTCAGGCTTACAGTATCTTTTATATTATTCACTGGAAGCCTTCAGAAGTCCTTCACTGCCTTTTCCATCCTTTCTGTCTCAGCATCCCTGGCCTGCCTCGCTCCCCAGTTCACATTCCTCAGAGGTTACACTGAAGGGCCTTTCCAGAAGGCATCTAACAAATATACAGCATCCCTTTCCAGGCTTTTTCAGAGAGAAATCTGCAAGCACTTTCTATTCACACTCAGTCATCAGCGAAGCAACAGGGCCTGCTTTTTATTACACGTTTTTACTTCTGGAGAACACAGCTCCTCAAAAGTTATGGTTTAAAAGATCAAGGATTTGTATCACCTGTACTGGACTGTGCCAGTGCTTAGGAGGCCAGCGTGCTCTGTTGCATGTGATCGGCTTTGAAATTACTAAATTTTTAAAATAATGAATTACAAAAGCCTCCATCTTCTTTTTCACAAAAAAGTTTTTATCTTCCATATTCCACCAAGACATTTTTCACCATGGGGAAAACAGTCTATGCAGGAGCAGTTAAATATACACTGGAAGAAAAAAGAAACTGAAAAAATAAATGTTTTCTACCACACATCTGGTACTAAATATACTGTGACACTTGTAAACAAAAAACTTTCTAGCAAATAGGTGATATTTAAAGCTAATGATGTCTCTCTTACACTCTGTAGGGGAATGAATAAATAACAGTAACGTTACCAAAGGCCAGGAAGTCTCAGGCATTACAGTCCTCTGCATCAGTGGCAAGAAAGACAACAAGCAGCAGCAAGGAAAATTGATCACTAGTACAGGCTTCGGGCTATATGCAAGTCCCATAAAAAAGACTAGCTGACCTGCACATACCCAACACGAAACAGAGGGGAGAGCAAGCTGTGCAGGTTGAAGCCCGAATCCCCCACAAATCCTTTTACTAGGTAAGCAACTCAGGAATCCCACACGCCCTTCCAGTGGGAAATGCAGGTGGCTGCTTAGGAAGAACCCCAAATTATCTCGTACCTCAGCAGTTGCCCAGGCACTTTCACTGGAAGCCTGGAGGGGAGATGGGGACCCAGCGGGGCCAGGCCCCCACAGCCGCCGGGGGAGCATGAAGCAGATCAGCTGAACTGTCCCAGAAGGAGACCAGGGAGCAGAGCAGCAACCTTGGCTTTCAGCCCAACCTCAGGACTGGCTTCACACCATTGCACGCACACTATAAGGACCTTAAAAATTACCTTCACTATTTTTTTTTTTTTTTTTTTTGAACAGATGAGTACCTGGAACCAATGAGAAATCTAACTATTGTAGAGCCTTTTGTTTTCCCTTGTCTAGCCCAAAATTTAAGTTCTTAATAGTCACCTCTTTGAAGTTGGTACCTTTGTCATGGAGACCCTCTTTCTTCTATCAACAAAAGATGCAAGAAATTATGCTTTATGTTTTGGAGTACAGATGACCAGAGAGTAAGAATAGCAGCTTGCAGAGCCATTACCTGGTTTTATTCTCTCACCACAAGTGAGAAAGAGCAGTCGGTAGTGGTATGGAGGAGGTGTGGAAGGAGGAAGAGAGGGAAGGGTGGACAGATGGAAAAGAAGGGGAAAGGCAAGGGGAAGAGAGGGAGAAGAGGGGAGGAAGGAAGGAAGGAGGGATTGAATCAATCATTTCTCTATAAGCATGAAATGAAAGCTACAGATGAAATCACCTTTTATAATCGCTGTGTTCTGGCTATAGTGGGATCAGGGACCTTTTAGATTTCATGTTTTAAAACACACGCGCACAAAAAAACCCAGAACAAAATTCTTTGCACATATCAGTCACAGTAAATGAAATACTTTCCTATTGCTTTAAAGTTGACTACATACCAAGTTAATATCAACTCTGAAATTTTTAAACAAAAAATAATCAGAAACTCAGATTTTCCTCTTCATTCAAGAATAGCTCACAGCACCAACACAGTACACCACCACCACCAGGATTACTAACTCACGTTTTTGATACAGTTTTCGTAATGCTGTGTTCTTGGATGGAAAAGAAGGAGGGGGTTGCTCTGTGTGCTTGTCTTCTTTTAGTAACAACTTAATTAGACTCGAAGCTGAAAGCTATTTTAGATGAGCAATGAGAAAACCTCAAGCTGGGGTGCCCTCGGGCCCCACGGCTGTTGGAGAGCTGGAAAGAAAAGTGAGGACAAAGAAATGAGGTGCTAAAAGAAAAAAGATGCAGAAGGTTAT